TGGGGAGTCTCATGCTGCTTAACAGTGTCTAAGTTTCACCTTAGAGACACGGTTGTCTTGGATGCCTTGGTCTTCCCAGACATTTTCAGAGTTACACTGCTCACTTCACAGTCACAAAAAATGAGCACAAGCAATTGTCACAAAAACAATGATAGTGGCCGACACTGCTCACATTTTCAAAACAACAGAATCGACGCACCTTAGTAAAAAAAAACCACAGAAAATATCACTTCACAATCACCATAACACAGTTAAATCTAAATGTTAGTGCTCTCCTTTCACTATAGTATAAGAAAAAACAAAAACAATGATGATAAGTACAATGTACGATGCTAGCCAATAATCCTGGAGCAATGCGACGGCAGGTTTATGATTGACAAAGAACCAAACACAGGGCTGTAGTGTGTGGGTTGGCCGTGTGGTGGCGTGTGGGTAGGCTGACAAATGAAGGCAGAGATGCGTGGTGTATGAAGTTAAATATCGTTTCCTTATAAAATGTCACTGATTTGACATAGAAAATATAATTTGCAATGTTGGAATCCTTGCAAGACGATGATTAATTTGAGTACAGTTAACCCTCACTTTACGCGGTTAATGTAACCCGGAGGGTCCCACGTAAAGTGAGAAACGCGTAAAGTGAATAACATAACTTATGGGATTATTGAAATGGAGTCCGGGCCGACCCCCAAACTCCACTTTTTGACGACACACAACTATGTTGTAGTAAAAATTTTATCTTAACTTTATGATGGTATGAAAAAACAAGTAATATAGAAGAGGTTAGGTTGGGAAAAATAAAGGTTAACATAGGAAAAATAAAGGTTAGGTTAGAAAAACTAAAACTTAGGTGGAACACTTACGGTAGTAGAAGAGATGGGTCGGCATAAGGGGATGGAGGCTGGTTCCGAGGCAGAGGGCAGATTACTGGCCCTCAGGTGAATCACCATTACTAGGTGAAGCACCATCACTGTCACTTACAATTGTCAGGGCTTCCCTGACAAATCCCTCAAAGTCATCTTCACTGTCACTATCACTGGCTTGGGCTGGCTGTGGTGGGTTGCGGGCGAAGAACTCGGTTATGCTTTTTTGACGGCTGGTGTTTATGTTGTCATGATACACCGTGATGTACGGCTCAATAGCCTGCACCAGCCGGGTATGGAAGACTTCATAGCGGTCATCGTCATTGTCGCGGGAAAGGAAGGACTTCATTTTCTCTGCACACTCCATGGCACCCTAAATATCACTATGAGTTAAACTGTGTTCTTCGGAGAATGACGCACCTTCTTCCTCCTCTTCACTGACGTGATCTTCCAATATCTCGACGGCAGTCACTTCAGGATCTCTGGTCACCTCCAGGATGTCGTCGTTGGTGGTCTCGGAGAAGCCTGGAACTGTAACAGTCTGCGCAGCTTCTCTGGCAAGGTCCACTGCTACTGCAACATTCTGAACCTCACCAGTCACACATTGACTCCTCCTCTCACCTGGTATTCCATGCAACACATGTCTCCATGCGTGACGAATTGTAGCAATAGACAGCTGATCCCATGACTCCACCAAGAAGTCCACAGCTTTCTTGATGTTAAATACTCTCCAGAATTGTTTGAACAGTATTTTTTGCTGTGCCAACTGTTGATCCTCATCTTCTTCGCTCTTGCTATCGGTGGTGGTGTCACTCAGGTTACGCAACTCTTCCCTGGTGTTGGTGTAGTCGTTCAGGAGTTTGAATTTTTTTGTTGAGAATGCAGCTTTTACATTACAGATTAACTCTTGGTCCATGGGCTGTAATATAGACGTAGTGTTGGGAGGAAGGAAGACCACTTTTACGTTGGGGTGACGATCTAACAGTAGGGGCGAGTGTCCTGGTGCGTTGTCCAGCAGCAACAAAATATTGAATGGCACATTCTGTCGCTCACAGAATTTCTTTACATCGGGAACAAAACAGTCATCAAACCAGGAGAGGGACAGTGTAGAGAACATCCACGCCTTACGTGCGGTCAGCCAGTGGACATTTAGCTTGGTCATGTCCATGGTTTTGTAGGCGTGCGGCTTGCGTGCTGTGTGGATCACCGATAACTTGAGCTTACAGGTACCGGAGGCATTGGTGGTAAACAGGACGGTGATGCGTTCCTTCTGCATCTTCCGGCCCCGAATCCTGCTGGCATTCTTTACAACGAAGGACTTGGAAGGTAGCTTTTTCCAGAAAAAACCAGATTCGTCCATGTTAAACACCTGGTCGTCACTGTACTGTCCTTCCTCCATAATCTCACGTAAAAACGGAGGAAATTCCCTAGCCGCAGCATGGTCAGCACTCGCTTCTTCACCACCAATGTTTATATTGGTGATCTTGTTCCGGATCTTAAACCTCTGTAACCACCCAGAGGAAGCATTAAAGGGTTTGGGCTCTGTAATTCCCATCTTTCGTGCCACTGCCATGTACAGTTCACGTGCGTAGTCCTTAACAGAGCGCGTGTCGACCGCCATGTTCCGTCGCGCCTGACGCACCAAGTACCTCACAAGTAATTTTTCTGTCTTGAGAAGCACCTGGTTGTGAAAATACTTGATCATAGAAGCACCTGTAGACTTTGTGATCTTCATGTGCTCCTTTATCTTGGCTGCATCCTTCTTTATTGTTCGAATCGTAGATTCATTCACACCATGCTGGCGCGCCAAATCAACCTGCCTTGTTCCTTTCTCCAACTCTTGGATGATGGTATACTTCACCTCGTAGCTTAAGGAACGTCGTGTCTTCTTTGGCTTAGTGCCGCTGGGTCCAGGTAAGGAAAGGTTTCTCTCTGGGGGTGGTGGTCCGGCGGAAGCCATTTTACGGAACAATGGATGCGCGTTTACACGGTGTGGCCTTGAGGGATGAAACTGCTGCGGCTAGGTCAAGCGTCGTCTTTCCTCCCTCCCTCCCTCCCCCGGGTGGACACGTCATAATACTTTAAGCCAATTACAGCTAGCAGCAGAGGGGGGCAGGGATGCATGGCCAATCACAGGTCTGATACGTCATATGACGTCAGTGATAACGCAACAAAGACACACACTGCGCAACCTTGCCGCGCCGCTTGCCCAAGCGGAGGGAGGAGGAGGGAGAGGCGAGGAGCACAGGCAGGCAGGCGGGCGGGTGGCGGGTGGGGCGAATCTAAAAATAGCGTCGCGCCGGACACTCCGCATAATGGGGTTCACGTACCGCGTAATGTGAGCACGTGAGGTTCTGGCAAGGCACCGCGTTAACGTGGAAACGCGGAATGCGGGACCGCGTAAAGTGAGGGTTAACTGTATTCCTTCATTGCAGGGACAGCGTACACATTTAACCACTGGGTAAATACGGCACTGGTTATCCATGCCTTCTTATTTGCCTTGTAAATCACAGGAAGGTGATCTTTAGAGTAACTTTTCAGGGCCCGTGGGTTGGCAGCACAAGAAATCAACATAGGCTTCAGTTTGAAGTCGCCAGCAGCGTTCGCTCCAAGCAGTCTTTTGCCGCTTTAAAATCTGGCACTCTTCTTTTTTCATTGGAGATATACAGTAGGTCCTCTCAGGCATCTTCTTCCAAAAGAGACCAGTCTCACCCTCTGTTTTCTTTAGGTAGTCAAACAAGGATCTGGCTTTATGCTGGAGCAATATGTTTGATTCTGGTCCTCCATCCACATAGCCAGCATCTTTTCCATCTTTTCTATTAAAGTGCTTAGAGTACGATTAGTCTTTGTTGTACTCAGAGTAGTACCACTTCCATCACTAACCTTAATGTTTTCCGCTTTGGTCCAGATAGTACCCACTGTTGTGGGGGTTAGTCCTAGCATAGCGGCAATGTCCATAGCACGTTCACCCTTTTCAAAACGGTTTAATACGTTCTTCACTACACTAGCATTAGTAGCACTTGATGGGCACTTGGAAACCATTTCGAATGGTTAAAGTACAGTATTTAGAGCAGAAACACTTAAGCACACACGAATAATGTGGAAGAGTAACAGAGAATGGCTTTACACCTCTTGGGGACGCTGTTACGTTCTGCTATATGTGTGTGTGTGTGTGTGTGTGCAAACACACACACACACATATAAAATACTGGTAAAAGAAATTACTGTCTCTAGAATGAATGGCTCCCTGTTCCACCCATGAAAATTCCAGCAACTTTAAAACTACCCTTAGACATTATTGGGTACATCCAGGGTGTCATCCACAAATAATCGAGGTCAGCGAATTAAAAATCTGTGAAATTTAAGGGCATGCTGTACAGATATAGACTCTAAAATATAGGACCCTTGTGGTCAAATCAGTTGTGAGGATTTTCTAGTTTCCAGGGACCAAGGTCATCTTTATTGCTGTAGTTCTAAGAGTAAACTATTAGCTTCCATACACTGAGTCATTCACACAAACTCAGTTGGATGTTTTTTGTAAAATAACATGGCCCCTGTAACAACTGGCAGTATCTGGCATAAGGTGCTTTGAATTTTTTCTTAAATTTGACCAATAATAATTTGAGAAAAAATGAAAACAAAAGTTATATTTTACTTAATATAAATAATTACAATAAAGATAAACAAGGTACTGTATTAGGCTATTTATTCAATCAGGCAATATATTCATGCACTCAATACTTATGGTAAATGTTGTAACTCACTAGAAACTCCTGGAACATGTAATGTGGCAAAGGAAACACTACTCAGAGCTAAGAGAGCAGGTGGGTATTGGGAGCACAGTACTAATTAGGTAAAAAAGAGACATGAGTCTGACTGTGTATGGGAGGAGAGCCAGTGGTAGGCCAGGAATGCCATAGGGAAAGGTTGTAAGAAAAGACTTCAGAGACAAGAACCTGATAAGAGACACTGCAAGAGATCACACATGAGTTGGCATCAGGTAACTGTAGCTAAACTATGCAAGGGAAGAAAATGGCTGTAAAATGGTCAATGATGATGAAGATATTGAGCCCATCACTTCTTCAACTTCAAACGAAGGAAACAAGTAAACCTTCCAAGATACAGACAACTGGTACTTACTTAACTGGATCATTCCACATCATCTGCCAGGCCAGGTTGTTTTGATACTCAGGGTTTGGTAGAGGACAATGAATCTTCTCTAGCACCTCCAAATTTCCTTCTAATTTAGGAATTCCACCATGAATACAAAACATCTGAAAGTAAACATTTCATCCTATATTAACACAGACAGAGAGAGAGAGAGAGACATATATACACTATATATATATACATATATATATATATATATATATATATATATATATATATATATATACATATATATATATATATATATATATATATATATATATATATATATATATATATATATATATATATATATATATATATATATATATATATATATATATATATATATATATATATATATACAGTTTACTTTCACCCTTGTTTTCATATCTGTGCCTTGGCTGAACTTTCCTTAAGCGGGTTTTTCACATGTCTGTGTCCGAGCTATTTTTAGATTGCCCCCACCGCCACCCTGCCTGACTGCCTGTTTAGCTCATAAAATTTATACAAATTACCAACCAGAATATAATTTACATTGCTGGAATTCTTATAATTTGGTGATCATTTTGAATATAAACATCATATATTTTGCTTTAAACTTACAATTTTAGATAAAAATTTTTCTCTAGGTAACTATGGTATCTTTTGTCCAAAATATATGACATTTATATTCAAAATATTCCTGGTCTTACAAGGAATCCAGCAGTAATAATTATATTATCCTAACTAGTTTGAGGTATTATTTATTAAAATTTAGTGGTTATCCCACATCTCCTTGGGACGGTTGGTGAGGGTGGGGGGAAGGACCAACCGACCATCTGTTACCGATGTGAAGAATTATTATTATTTTTTTATTAACTGAAGATATTTTTTTTAGCTCATAAAATTCATACAAATTACCGGTCAGAATATAATTTACATTGCTGGAATTCTTATAATTTGGTGATCATTTTGAATATAAACATCATATATTTTGCTTTAAACTTACAATTTTTAGATAAAAATTTTTCTCTAGGTAACTATGGTATCTTTTGTGCAAAATATATGACATTTATATTCAAATATTTTCAGTCTTACAAGGAATCCAGCAATGTCAATTATATTATCCTAACTTTAATCTGAGGTATTATTTAATACTAAATGTTAAAACTCTGGAAGGAGGAGGTGGGGGGGGGGGAGGTTGGGACTGACCGCGGTTGGAAGAGGCAAGGTGGGAGTACTTTGATTGACAGATAGTGTCGTAGATTATTTTTTTATTAACTGAAGATATTTGTTTTAGCTCATAAAATTCATACAAATTACGGTCAGAATATAATTTACATTGCTGAATTCTTATAATTTGGTGATCATTTTGAATATAAACATCATATATTTTGCTTTAAACTACAATTTTAGATAAAATTTTCTCTAGGTAACTATGTTATCTTTTGTCCAAAATATATGACATTTATATTCAATTCCCGGTCTTACAAGGAATCAGCAATGTCAATTATATTTTCTAACTAGTTTGAGGTTATCCACATCTCCTTGGGACGGTTGGTGGGGGGGGGAGGAGGACCGACCGACCATCGATTAGCCGACTGTGTAGTGTGAGGAGGAGAGTTGAGTCCATTATTTGAATGGACATTAACGGCGACTGTATTTCTCTATTTCTCTTAAGTATTAATTGTGTGCATGTACCATCATAAAATTAAGATGTTATTTTTTACAACATAGGTATGTGCCTTCAAAAGTGGGTTTGGGTCGGGCCGGTTTCTATTGGAATTAATCCCATATGTTCTGTTGTTCACTTACTGGATTTCATAGCGGGACCCTCTGGTTCAATTGACGCGTTAAGTGAAATTATAACTATAATATATATATATATATATATATATATATATATATATATATATATATATATATATATATATATATATATATATATATATATATATATATATATATATATATATATATATATATATATATATATATATATATACAGTATTACCAACAACGAGGTTTCAAAGCTTAGCAGCGTTTTACGTATCGATAAAATTCATACAAATTACCGGCGAATATAATTTACATTGCTGGAATTCTTACAATTTATCATTTTGAATATAAACATCATAGATTTTACATTAGACATACAAATTTTAGATATAAAAGTAAATATGTTATTTTTGTGCAAAATATGACATTTGTATTCAAATATTCTGGTCTTAAGAATCAACAATGTCAATTGTATTATCCTAACTTTAGTTTGAGGTATTATTTATTAAAATTTAGTGGTTTTCCCAAAAAATTTCTCAGAGAAGAACCAGCAGTGTAATTAAGGGGAGGAGTTGAGTCCATTATTTGAATGGACATTAACTAGCGACTGTATTTCTCTATTTCTCTGAAGTATTAATTGTGTGCATGTACCATCATAAAATTAAGATGTTATTTTTACTAGAACATAGTGTGTTGGAAAAAGTGGAGTTTGAGGATGGGCCTGTTTCTATTGGATTAATCCCATGTGTTTCACTTAGCGTGGTTTCATAACACGGTACCCTGTGGGTTTCATTGACAGCGTTAAGCAGGGTACTACTGTATATATATATATATATATATATATATATATATATATATATATAT